AGTACATGACATCATTGAATTTGTTGGATGGTCGTATGTACTTGAGCTCTGATAGTACGTGCAAATCGGATTCTAATGATGATTTTTTGTCTGATCTCCATACACCTCAGTTTTTGAAATGTATCAAGTGTTCCGCAATACCGAACCATGAGTTGTATTTGAAGATTCGAACTCCAGTCATGTTGTTACCGAACATGGATCATTCTATGGGTTTGTGTATGCGACACGATTGGTTGTGACAAAACTATCCACTCATGTTCTTGAGTGTAAGATACTCATATGAGATCATGCTGGTGATACGGTGTTGATTCTAAGAATAGTCATAACTCCTTCTGATGTTAGAATTCCTTTCAAGTTTTAGCAACGACTGTTTCTCATTATGGTTTTTTACGTCATGAAAATAAACAAAAGTCAGGGACAATCCTTATCTCATGTTGGCTTATTTCTTAAGAAACCGGTGTTCAGTCATGGCCAATTATATGTTGTTGTCTCCTGTGTCACTAACCGAAAGGGTTTGAAAATCTTGATTTGTGGCGAAGATGACGTGCCAACGTATCAAACCAATAATGTTGTATATAAGGAATTGTTCAATAATATATGATCTTTTCAGTTTACTTATATGTTTATATGTCTATTCTTATGATGATGATCATTTTGTTATTACACAATTTAAATACAATTTTGCCTTCTCAAAAGCACATAGATAATAATTTTCCAGTGCATCGCACGAGTGATTACTAGTAGCTGTTAACACAAATAATATTTATATATATATATACATTACAAAATTTTGAATGGACAAAAAAAAAACCATATACCTGTTTTGCCCTCTCCCACTAGCCCGTAGACCGGTTGTCACCTTGTACCTGGACCTTTGGTCGTTCACGCATCGCACACTATGGGTTGCAGCTATTTGCTCCAATTCCAAATAGGCGGCATAGTGCTGAGTAGCAATGGGACTCGTGCATCTCATGGACTTATTTTGTTCCTTTTCGAACAAGTGCAGAGTTTTCTGAAATGTGGCATATACCAAAGCTTTACAAGGCAACAACCTAACGCCTTTCAAAACGTTGTTGTAGCTCTGTGATATATTGGTCGTCAATGTGCCCTATCTACGATGTCCTTCATTTCCAAACAGGGTCCACTTGTTCAAAGGAATATTGAAAAGGTACTGGTGTGCCTCGTGATGAAATTCATTCAGCCGCTCTCTCGTCTGTTCAAACTTCTGCTCCGACAACTGCGAATCCAAATCCTAACACCAATTCCGGACATTCCTACTTTTAAACCTAGTGGCCACGTTGCTTCGAAGGTGTCGAAGGCAAATCCGGTGATATGCAACGGGTTCTTGCCAATCAACCAACGAGTCAATGGCACTGAGTATGCCGTTATCCCTGTCGGAGAGAACACAGATCTGTCGGTCGAACACAACATGTAGCCGCAGATTCCTCAGGAAAAATGACCAGTTGTCCGTGCTTTCTTCATCGACAATCGTATACGCAATTGGCAATAGCCGCTTATTCGCAGTCTGTGCTATGACCACAAGCAATTTTCCCTTGTACGATCCACGCAAATGTGTGTCATCAATGCTAATAACCGGCAGACACATTTGGAAGGTTTGAATCGCGGGACCACACACCCAGAATACAAATATGAATTCTCTGTCTAGAAGGTGTCGCGCCATTTTTCCACCCTACTGTGTCGGGATTCGCTTTTTGAAGCGCTGCAAAAAACCTGAAATTTACAAAATGGTTTCATAAATAGATAAACATAGTAACAGAAAAACAACACATATATTTGTAATTTATTTCTGCTTACTGAGAGAGTTCTTCGAAGTTCGATTCCCAACTGCCATACACACGATCGGTGGCTTTTTTCCTACCGTGCCATGCCTTCTTGTAGTTGACATCGAATTTCCAACACTGTTTCACATCGGCCTGGATCATGCTAACGTTGTAGTCCAGTTTCTTTTCAATCTTGTTAATTACAAGATTTGAAATCATACGGGCGGTTACGTTTCTGTGGTCATTTCTCTCTACCCGTTGCATACAAGTGTATTTGTCAGTCCATTCAGTTAATTCCCTCATTTCATGAACCCGTTTCTTAGTCACCCGAGCCTTCCACTCACAAGGTTCATCTTCATTAGATCTGCAGACCACTTTGTATGACTTTTTATTCGAATATGTTGTCTGAACCGTCCTCAACCTATCAATGTTCCAAGCCAATATACCCGATTGTGCTTCTTTCTTGCTCCTAAAAACTGTACCCAACCGTATGGTCTCAATGTCACCATTCCATCGTGGAAGAGCATACTCGTTCTCATCTATCTCGATAGGTCCCATCACCCATCTCGCGATAAATGTGGCGACCACCACTAGGAAAAGGGTGTTCTTCTTCAATGAAGTCAGGTTCACTCTTCTCATTTATCGATCTATCTGATTCAGTTTCTGAGGTCTCGTTTGTGAAATCATCTTCACCGGGAATGTCACCTTGGTCTGACTTAGCCGGCTTGTAGGAATGAATTCCAAGATCGGCTAGGGCCCCAATTGAGACTGTGAAGGAGAGGAGAGACACATTTGGAAACCATTAGGGTTTCTGAGGTCTCGTCTGTGAAATGATCTTCATCGGGAATGAAATCTTCATCACTTTCTTCCCCCTCCTGATTTGCCCATTCTCTCATTGTTGAGCATGTCCCTTCTCCAAAATTACATAGATGAGAAGTCGACGTACCCTCAACACCAGTCACCCCCCGTAAAAAGGTGTAACATCAACATCCTCAACTTGTGTAACTGGTGTAATTGCCTTCGCGATAAATGCAAATACACAGTGGACATAGGACGAAAGTAATAAATCCACTGAAGAGCACTATCGTTATTCAATCTTGCGGTATTCCACGAACCATCGGACTGGCTATAGATTAAAGTAATCTCCTCAATTCTCCAACATTCTCCAAACCGACAATTTTCATAAATCGTGTTGACCAATTGTTCATAAGATATCTTTCCCCAATAACAAATGAACTATCAACACGATCTTTATAACTCAAAAAATCCCTTAACATATATTCTTCGCAATATTCCAATATAAATTAACCATGTATGGACCGCAATCCGCCATTTATACATGTTGCAAAAAAACACTTTCAATTTTTCCCGATAACAACCATTCTATATTTAAAACTCATTTTTTTTACTTCAACCAAAACACCAAAAAAAATGTTCCCAATCAATAATCCTCCAAAACCCTAATACTCATAATCGATCAATAACATAGAATTCATCCATATTTTGGAAAATTGAAAGCTCTAAATCTAACCTTAATTTTGAAAAACCCTAAATCCAACAACAACCAACCAATACACAATTGACAATTTACAATAAAATTCCAATCTTCAATTCAACATACACACATAATCGATAAGCAATTAGTAATTCCTAATCTTGAAATACCAACACATTCAAACATATTATACCAATTTTCAATCTCCAAACAATTCCAAACGATCTAAAAAGTTGAGATAAGCCAATATACCTCGTGCGAATGAATTAACCAGAAAGGAGGCTCGTGTCGGTGTTGTCGGTTCATGCCGGGGTGAAGATGAGATCGAATTTTTCTCTTCCAAAAGTTTTTCTCCCTTTCTGCTTGCAATTCTCTCCTCTCTACTGAAATGCGCTCCTCTCTGTGATGAAAAAGAGAGATTTTTATTTATTTTTTTATTTTTTTTATCCTCCCTATATATAATTCCAGAATGCGCTGAGCCTACGTGGCTGCTTCTGGTGCTTCGTAATCCTACTTGGCGAAGAATCATGCTTCGTAATTAGGTTTGGACAAATAATATTGTATATTAATAATTAATAATCTAGGTTCGGATATTCCATAAATATTATTTAGCTAACTTAGGTATTTTAATATCACTTGTACTAATATAACCCTTTAATTATTTGTAATTTTACATAGTGAGACACTAAGTGACTAATATATCCTTGACTTTGATTTGTTTCCTTCAATTAACTATTGAATTATAAATGTATTTTAAAAGTTGATAACTTTTGTACTTATTTTCGGTTTTACATATATTATATATCAAATTAATCATCTTTTGATGATCTTCGATTTGACATCCATATTGTATATATGAAATAAATAAATTATATTTATCTTTATAATAATAAAAAATAATAATATTTATCAAAATTTATTAGTTAAATAAAATTATTTATCAATTGATATATTTATTTTTAATGTAGTTATATGTTGTAAGTTAAAAATTATTATAATATAACACAAGTAAGTCGCACAAATAAAAAGTTTTTATGCTAATATATAATATTATATATATTTTTGTAAAAAGTATTTAAATTTTCAACTACTTTTTCACACTAATTTTAGACTTTAAGAAAAAAATTAGCAAGCACCCGTGTAATACACGGGTGTTATACTAGTATATTTGATTGTAAAACATATTATCACGTATTACTACTATTTAATTGTAAAAACGTAATCGAAATACGTTTTATTTAAATTTATTTTTTATTATGATTTCCCCATTTTTTTTATAAATAAAACATATTTGCGAAATACGTTTTAATAGATTTTTTTCTTAAAATTAGAAACTAAATACAAAACATATTTACATAATACATTTTTTATTTATTATTAGTTTCCCAATTCAATTTATTAAAAGGATTTTTTTTTATTTTTTTATTTTACAAAATTAATTATAAAACGTATTGCGGAAATCGTTTTGTTAAATAATTTTTTTTTTTTTTAAAAAGTATTCCAAGAATACATACTTTTTATTTTGGTCCACTTTAATTTTCATTTTTTAGTTTTGTCTAGTTAATTTTAATCTTTTTTTTTAAGAAAAATAAAGCACCCGTGAAAAGCGTTTAGTTTTTAATTGGATTTTTAATCCAATCACACCCTCGCCTTTTACCTATTATTATCTCTATAAATTTCCACGTCACCAGTAATTCAAAATCCGGATTAGCCGAAATCAACCAATGAGATTCAAGCTTTCAGCAGCCTCGATCCGCGTCACGCCTTCAACTTTTCATCTCGGCCGTACGTTCAACAGAAAGAAACACAGTGTAACTCATCCATGACCGACAGATTCAGCAAACAAAACACAAATTTATGGCCGTCAGATGGCACTACTATTGAAGGCCGATCTTTTCAACTCCCTTACACAAACTTTATCGTCGCTCATCGGAGGAGATTATACAGAGAGAGAAAATAAGAGAGCGTTTCGTTAGCGTAAGAGGTACGGTTTTCGCCCTTCGCGTCGCAACCTCTTTTTCGATTTAACTGTACCAAATTAATTGATGAAATTGTCTGCGTGAAATTAGGGTTTTTCTGATCAGATATGCGTTTAGGGTTTCACTTTCCAATTTTTCGTTGAGATCTCGGAATTAGGGTTGAGTCTTTTTCGTTATTTGTTTATTTCGGTGGTCGATTTATGAGATGTTCAATATGTTGTTTGAAAACGCCTGTGATTCTGGAATTTTGGATAGAAATAATGCGTATGTAGCTTTGATATGGTTATTAGACAAATTTTAATTATCAAGTTTGCCTTTAAATTATGCATTAATGTGTATGATCAGCGATTGTTGTTTATAAGATCTTGTGTTTGAATTTATAAAGTCTGAAAATGCCCCAGGTGTTTATAGTCGATTTATTCGAATATGGCTATATGTCCATTAATGGCTTTATATGTTGGTTCCTATCTTTCTCCGATTACTTAGCAGGAACTTGAGTTTTACATTGCCAATGCCTGCATCTTTTTGGTTGTCGTTTGTGATTTGATGTGATGTGATTACCTATGTATAAGGTCATGAAGAAGTCAGTGTTGGTCTTCTTGAATTTAGACTCATTTGTACATCTTAGATATTTTTGATCATTTTTGTTGAGATATTTGAGTAATATTTGATTCGTGTATAGAGATGCTTTTGGTTTCATGGTACTTGTTTTCAACTATGAATTTTTAGAGTCAGAAGTATGCATGTTCATTTAACTCTAATATTCCACTGAAATATACTTGTAGATGGCCCGTACCAAGCAAACTGCTCGTAAGTCCACTGGAGGAAAGGCTCCTAGGAAGCAACTTGCTACTAAGGTTCTGAACCCTCATCTTTTTAGTTCTGTACAAAAATTTTGTGGTTATGTTTTCTATTTGTGTGTTCTGATGTTTTATATATACCTGTTATATAGGCTGCTCGTAAGTCTGCACCAACCACAGGTGGAGTGAAGAAGCCTCATCGCTACAGGCCTGGTACTGTTGCTCTGCGGTGAGTTTTCATCTGCCACTACATTGACATTATCTTATGCTGTGTTAGGTTAATTATTGTCGAACTCATTTGTATCTTAACGCAGTGAAATTCGCAAGTACCAGAAGAGCACTGAGCTGCTGATCAGGAAACTACCTTTCCAGAGGCTTGTTCGTGAAATTGCCCAGGACTTCAAGGTGAATATGAAACTGAAATCTTTTAATTTTTTTAAATATGTTTAATGTATGTTGTTTGGGTCTTTTTTCTGATTGATTGTGTGTGTGTGTTTGTATATATTTTTGTTGCAGACTGATCTCCGTTTCCAGAGCCATGCTGTTTTGGCACTTCAGGAGGCTGCTGAGGCTTACCTTGTGGGTCTCTTTGAGGATACCAACTTGTGTGCCATCCATGCCAAGCGTGTCACCATAATGCCTAAAGATATCCAGCTGGCTCGCAGAATCAGGGGCGAGCGTGCTTAAGCATGCCTGGGTTACATTGGTGGATTTTACTCTGTCGTAGATATTAAAACTCTAGTATTAGTGTCTGTGGTTGTCTCAGGACCTTTGATTTCAGATTCTGTTAGTGTGCTATTTTGAGGTTTATTGGTAATATTTTGGATGGGAAGAACTAAGAACCCTTGATATGTTTCGTCTTGTGAATGCTTCATTAAGTTTCCGTTTGGATAATTGTTGAAAGAAATCTGGTTTGTTTCTAGCTTACTAGTTTTATTTTATTATATTGTTCTATTGCTTCATTTACTTTAAGAAGATGGTAGCTACTTCATCTCATTTTGGCATCCGATTTGGTTGTATTGTCTAATTGCTTCTTTTTCTCGGATGATGCTAGTTCCTTGTTTTTTTTTGTTTGAATTGAATTTATATGATGCTTGCATTTTCTTTTTTAATATGGTTTAATGTTGAAACATACTTAGCATTGTTCATGATTGAATTTTCCCTTTTGAATAGTTAGAATTCTAGTAGTATAAATGCACATTTACAAGCTATCTTGGTATGAATTATCTTCTTTCATTGTTGGCATTCTAGTGGTTTAAATACAAAGTTACAAGTTATCTTGGTCATGCCCACATACTGGAAGAAGATTAATGAGCTTGGGTCTTATCTACAAAACTTTATCCCCATTTCAAATGAGATTTATACTTCAAGTGACGCCTTGTATGTAATGATCCTTGGGTCTCGTTTAAAACTTGATATATTAATGATACATGTCTCATTTGAAACTTGATTCTCATTCCACATGATATGTACATGAAGTGGCCTTGTATATTAATGATACTTGGGTCTCATTTAAAACTTTATTCTCATTTCATATGAGATGTTCATCAAGTGAAACTCATGAATGTGGTTTTGATTTGTTAAATCATTTTGGAGAGAATCTACGATGGTACATGGCAAATGCTCATGAATGTGATTTTGATTGGTTAAATCATTTTGAAGAGATTGCAATGGCACATGTCAAACGCTCATTTTTTATTTGTTAAACCACGAATGATCAGCCTTTATTGTTGCATGATCAATGTTACAATGAACATCGTAACTACAATAATCTTGCTCGTACTTGGTTATAAGCTAATTTTCAAAGCTTTTATGTCATTTGACAAGTTATGAAAGATAAAATTAGCTCCCATACATCCAAGTCAAAAGGTGGTCTCGTAACGAGGCAAATGTTTGGCTGCGCCCAGGCTGGTCTAGCATCATGGTTTATGACCATTCTGCGCTCACCATGTTCAATCATCCAAAAGGCAATCCAAACAAGAATATACAATATACACAAAAAACATTTTTTTTTTTTTTTCCTTAAAGACAAATAAATATGAATTATATAAGCAAGCTAAGCACAAACATCATTAGTATTCCATATCACTGTTATAGAAGGTGGAAAACCATAAAGACGTCTAAATGGAGGCCATCAAACAACTGATCATCATCAAGATAGATAATCATCATGAAAAGCATTCCTTTTTTTCAGAAAATAGTAGAACACCCCAAATATACTAATCTGAGAAAGAGTTACTCCTTGTCAGGCTTTGGTGCTTCCTTGTTCTCTTCAGATATGTCATCCTATACCAAAAGCAAAGTAAACATATCAGTCGCCCTGTTCATTTAAACAATAACAGCTGTTCATAGGAGAAAAGAAGAATACTCTACCTGCATGTCTGAAGTCCACAAGGTCAGATTGTCACGTAGAAGCTGCATGATTAGGGTGCTATCCTTATATGAATCCTCTCCGAGAGTGTCCAACTCAGCAATGGCCTCATCAAAAGCCTAAAATAGTATAAACAAACCTTAGCACCAACCTTTTGAACTTACTGCCAACAAATTACAAGTTCATGTTTAGTGGGCGTTTCCAAGCATTTCTTCTACTTACAGAAAAAACATCATAGATCAGCACCTATAGAAGTTTAGAATCATGCATAGGAAGTCACAGTACCAGAAATATAAAACAGCCCCTTTATATCCCACAAGAAAATGAGAATATGTATTATGACATACAAACAATAATACAAATAACAAATAAGATTGATTCTATCAATCAGACCTGTTTGGCGAGATTACAAGCTCGGTCAGGAGAGTTCAGAATCTCGTAGTAGAAGACTGAGAAGTTGAGTGCCAGTCCTAGTCGGATTGGATGGGTTGGAGCCAACTCCGAATTAGCAATGTCCTACAGTCACCCAAAGCACACTCAGTTCAACTAAAGTTGCATATATTGTACTCACAATATGCACAAATGCTCCAAATTTACACATCTGGTGATATTTTTATATGTAAATAAAGATGAAGTCCAAGATAAAAGCATACCGCAAAACCTCTAGGACTACACAAGAGCAGTATAAAACATTTTAATACTCTGAAAGAAACAGTACATATCTTTTACTAAGATCAAGCAGCAGTTCAATATGGAAGATCTATTATGACGAGTAAAACACAGATGCAAATAGAATGCACAAATCAGGTAATTCCACGAAATGACTCAAAAACAATCAGAATTCTATTTAATCGGTAGTTCGTAATCAATCATCAATTGAACACTGACAGCTGAAATCTCTCAGATCCATCAATTGATTTCATCCACATTTCCCACATGGCATATGTATCACCCAAAACGCATAAAGGACCAAAATGAGATAGACAGAAAAAAAAAAGGAAATTTCAATTAAACATGAAACCCTAACCTGAGCGGATTTGTACGCGGAGAGCGTGTTTTCAGCTGCTTCCTTGCGCTCAGCTCCTGTCTTGAACTCCGCCAGATAGCGGTGGTAGTCGCCCTTCATCTTCAAGTAGAAGACCTTGGAATCTCCACTGGCTGCAGATCCGATGAGCTTCGAGTCGAGGAGGTTGAGAATGCCGTCGCAGATGGAAGAGAGCTCGGCCTCGATCTTGGATCTGTAACCTTTGATGGCCGATACGTGAGCATCGTTGCCGCGGCTCTCCTCCTTCTGCTCGATGGAGGAGATTATCCGCCAGGAGGCGCGGCGGGCGCCGATGACGTTCTTGTAGGCAACGGATAGTAGGTTTCGCTCCTCCACGGATAGCTCGTCGCCGTCGACAGCGCCGACGACCTTCTCCATGAACTCAACCATCTCCTCGTAGCGCTCGGCCTGCTCGGCCAGCTTGGCCATGTACACATTTTCCTCGCGTGGGGACGCCATTCAGAATACAGATTCTGGTTTGTAGAGAGAGAAACGATTGAGTGAGAGAGGAAAATTGTGACGGAGCAATTTTTGGTGTGTGTGGATTTGATACTTGTTGAGAAAATTTGTTTATGGAAATAATCAATATATCCAAGGAAAAAATCTTTTTCACCAAATACAAAAATACATTGAATTTTTTACACTGCTCGTTTTAACCATTAAACCCCAAACCTCTTTTTATCTTTCCCAACATTCACATTATCCAAAACTTCGTTCTTACTCTTATACTCTCATAAACCTTACATAACAATAAATCCCATAATTTTTTTTTTTTATGAGTCCCACATGTTTTTCACTTACTTTTAATTAATATACCCTCTTATATTTTTATTAATACTTTATAGCTATAACTCCATTTTTCATTTTTATTCAATCTAAATGTTTCATATATTTATTATAAATATATTTAAAAATAATATAATTATATGTAATTATATAGCATTATGTATAATTATAAAGTGCTAATTATCTACCCATGAAAGTTTTACTTAAAGAAAATATGAAATATAGAACTTGCATAATGTTGAAAATTAAAATTTGACTACTGCTGATACTCGATTCGAACGCCAAGACCTACGAATTGGTCTTACAACGATGCACCCTTGTGGTCCTACCCGGCTCGATTCCGGATTAGTCGGTTCCCTTGTGGATTCGGAAACCGGAAGGTCCCCTGTACCAAAAAAAAAATTAAAATTTGAGTACACGTGTTTTCTAAATATTACTCTTGAGAAGTGGTTCATTCCAAATATGTTCAACCAAGTCGGGTAGAAATTGATGATGTATATTATGTATGTTAATTTAATTTTTATTAAATTATTATAAAAAATCATACAATAGTTTCTAATATAAAAGCTAAAACAAGAAAAAAAAAAAATGAAAGAAGAAACGTAAGTACATATTCTTATTTAATATTAAACTTCAATATTTTTATTCATGTTTCTTATATAAAGTATATTTTCATTTATTTATTCATCAAATGTTTAATATATTTGAATATAATATTAAAAACTATCATTGTAATAATATTTTTTTATAATTTACAAAGTAGAATGATAATTTTTTTACTACAAATAAAAACACTAAAAAAGAATAATGAATCATAAAATTAAAAGGAAATGTAAACTAACGAAAATAAAAATATTTCACCCAATGAAAAGTAAAAAAATAAACAAATATAAGAACTGATACATTTTCAAATAACAGAAAACAAATAAACAAAGTATTAAAAACATTAAAAGTATTTTTAAGAGAGGAGAATAAAATAAAAGAATTAAAAGAAAAAAGGAAAGAAAGAAAAACAAGTGAAACAGATGTGTGGCTCGTGTGGGCCATGTGTTGGACATGAACCTAAACGTGATTTTTTGTGAGTGTACTCCACACACCGTTTTATTCCTTGAAATCTGGGATTTGTAATTCACATTTCTCAATCTAGTCTATTCTATTTTTTTTTTTCTTCTATTTTTAGTTTCTAGCATTTGATGGGGTTTGATTTTCAACCCTTGTTTACAAATGTAAACCTTAACGCTGTGCACTATAACGGCATCCACATTCTTTAACATTCATTCAATCATAATTTACACTATCTCTCATTCACATCATCTTTCTATTAAGGGAAAATAATTGTGAGCAACCTGAACTATACGTGACTTTGGGATTTGCAACCTAAAATATTTATTTTGGTAAAATGCAACCTGAACTACATACACAATCACTAATTGCACCCTCGACCACATCTTGACCATACACGTGCCCTTTTTTGCTATTGATCGAACATTCTAAATGTGGTCGAGGGTGCAAATAGTGATTGTGTATGTAGTTCAGGTTGCATTTTACCAAAAAAAATACTTTAGGTTGCAAATCTAAAAAACACGTATAGTTCAGGTTGCTCACAATTATTTTCCCTTCTATTAAATATCTCTCTATTTAAACACACACCCACGTTCAATAATTCATTTAAACACAAACATATGAGACCCATTACCCCAGTCATTCGATACTATTTTTATATTCTATTCTTAATAAAAATAAATATATTTTTTTAATTGGAATATTTAATTTTAAATTTTAAAATACACTAAATATTATTAGATTTAAAAAAACATAAGTTAAGATTACAAAAAAGAAAATAATTGAAAAATACAACAAAACAAATAATTAAATAATTAATTGAAAACAAAACAAAACAAAAATAAACAAATTAATTGAATACAAAACAGAAAAAAATAAAAATAAAAATAACAAGACACCAAAAGAAGAACGTTGAAACATATAATTAAATATGATTTTAAGACAAAAAATTAAAAGAAAAATAGAAAAAAGCATTGAAGGCGTTCAATGAAATGAACAAGAAAGTGGGCCCCCCCTTTAATGGATGAGCAGCATCCCTATTAACGCGGGGGGCATTTAAACGTCAAAATTGAACGAGCCGATGCAGATGCTCTAACAACAAACCTCACAGGTTTACATATTTAAACCTCTCCAAATGCTCCCACTAAAGATGCCCTAACAATCTAACATTTTCACCCGAAAAGTGCGAAGGTTATGCGAATGGACTGCATAACTGTCGCATATCAATTGCATAACTGTCGCATGTTCATCGCGCAATGCCTTCGCACTTTAACTTTTTCCACCCCAGAAAGTACGAAGGGATATGCAAATGCCTTCGCACTTTTAACTTTCGCACAATGTCATCGCGCAACTGTCGCATATTCATCGCACAATGCCTTTCGCACTTTCTGGAGTGATAAACTTAGTTTTTTATTGAGTAGTGTGAAAAACTTAGCAAGACTTCAAAATGGGTGAAAATAGCTATTTTCACTGTATATAATTACTAGCAAATAGCATTTAATAAAATTATTTAATTTTACATATGCGGCAATTTAATCATTTCCCTCAAAAAACCGTTACTTTTGATGTATTTAATTTTTCATTTAATTATTAAATAATCAACACTAATCACTTCAAAATTACAAAAATTATTTTAAACTTTTGATTACTGACAGCTGACCATATAATGTGTTGACTGTATAATGTGATTAGATGTTATTATTGTGGTTACATTTAAATTATTTTTTTAAAATAAAAACATATTTGAAGTTTTTAAATAAATAATAAATAATTCACAAAAAAAGGCGTACCAAAATATACATTACATACAATCAGATAAACACAATTTTTTTATAAAATAAAAAAAAAATCCAACTCCTTTAATTGTAACTTTGGCCTGCAAAAAATCATTATATGTATACAAATAACGCACAATACTTTATTTACATTTGTGCAAATGCACAACGTCGAATACTAGTATCATAATTACGAGTAGCAAAAATTTCATCAAAAAATATGTTATGGTTATTTCGGGTCTAACTAAATGTTAATTGGATATAATTATTAATCTATCTATACATGTGTAAAGAGAGAACTTATTTACTAAGAATAGTAACAAGAAAAGTCAACCAACATTAATTGCATTCTATTTTCGGCAGCTTTTAAATTTTTTTTTTGAATTATTTCAAAAATATCGAGCAGCTATATATGCACCCTAAATTTATGGGTTCTGTGTATTTGATTTAGGTGAATTTTGATTGATTCTTACAATTTTATAAAAGTCAAAATTCTTTCTCATTTTTTAATTAAAAAAAATTTGATTACCATAAAATCAAAAATTTTGAATTAGGCAAAATATCTCGCATATCTTTTTCTAATTGCAACATATCGATTGTTTATTTTAAAAATCAGATTGCATAGAAATTGGGTTATTAAAAAAATCAGATTGCATAAATTTGAAAATTTTGAATTAGGCAAATTATGTTATATCTTTACCTAATTGCAACAGATCACGTTTATTAAAAAAATATGATTGCATAGAATTCAACCCAATTTCAAATTGATAATTAAAATTTAAAAGTCCCATATCATTTGACTACTACTTTTTTTTAAAAAAAAAAAAACATAAAATAGAATTAAATAATATTAATTTGAAATTCAAAATGAAATCGGATTAGAATATTCTAAAAATTTGGGTTTAGAATACAAATTTAAAATTGATTGTATACACGTATACAATTTTTTCCTTCCTTAAATTAAGTAATTTAAAATTTTAAAATATTAAGGCTATAGATTATCAAGAAATACCTTTTACAACTTCCGTTATATTTGGCTATGCAATCTTCATAAAACCAGTATAAATCATATCATATATATCTTGCTAAATAATTTAATTTATTTATTTAAGCCTATTTAGACTACTGTTTACGCAGAGGTACATTGTTTTCTGTTTAATAATATATAAGTTATATTTTGTTTTATTTCAATACATGGTTTTTATGTTCTTCCAATCATCCAAATATAAATGCTTACATTAATAAAATTAGCTCATGCATCACACGAGTACCGCACTAGTTAGAAAAGAAATCAATCTCTCTCTCTCTCTCTCTCTCTCTCTCTCTCTCTCTCCATATTTGATTATTGTGTACATAACTTCATCTCTCACAAAAAGACAAAACTTTATCTCTCATCTCTCATACACAAAACAACCAAAGTCATCTCAGCGAAAGACTTCATCGACCCAAAAGATATTCTCGCACACACAAAAAAGATGAAGACGACGACATGTTTGTAGTTTTTAGCCGAGTAATAAATCCTGACCTCGGGTCATGTCTCTCGAGGAAGGTTGTCGCAGCTTCATTTATTATCTCGTCGTTAATTCACAAAACCAAAAACAAGGTACTAAACATGCTACTCGTTTGATGGAATTGGATTACACAAAATTAAATAAAGAATTTAAGAGCAAATTGATGAAAAATGCAAGATTAGGGAGAAGTTTAAAATCTTTGGTTGCACGAAGTATCCATAACTCAAGAAAATGAAAACAAACAAGAGAAAAAATGCGAGCAAAGTAATCATAGGTAATCTAACACGAGCTTTCTACACTAAATCATCACGCTTTGAGAAAAGTC